TGTCTTCACCTATTTTTCATGTCATCGTGACCATTCAGTTTCTGTGAGAAATGTGTTAATACCTCACACTATCATTATTAACTTGTTCACATTGGATTTTTAACAGATTTTTCTTTATATATTTTTAAGTATGTTTTGGGCATGCAAAAGTTCATGATTATCATTTTTCTTTGTGGATTGCAATTTTTATCAAAATGAAAAGGTTATTGATCCATTTAATGTTTTGCTAGTTGTTGATATATATTTTATCATTTTAAAACATCAGTCTTGTATATATTTTACCAACCTTTTACTTTATACATTTCTCTGTTAAATTCTTTTTTAAATGTGACTCCTGAAAATAACATCTGGCAGATTTTTTTTCTTAGTATGCTAAGATAAGTAATTGTCAGGTTACAAAGTAGGGCTGAAAATAGGAGTATTCATTAAAAATATTTTATCGGTACATTTAGGCTTTTGGGATCTCTCTCTACCCTACCTCCTAAAAGACTTATAATTACCTTCTGACTCTGACATGTGGCTTAGGTACTATCACAAAACAACTAGTTCCCCACCTGATTATTCCACAGTGAAGCCTATCATTTAATAATTCCTATACACACTGAGGAACTTACAGATAGCATTTCTGTGCCTCATTCATTATTTTTTTAATTAAGAGAAAACAGTATAATGAATACCCATTAACACAAATTCAAAAATTACCAAGATTTTGTCATATGTCCTTTTTTTCTGTTTGCTGAAGTAATTTAAGGCAAATCCAAGACTGTATGCTCTTTTCATCCCTATTTACTTCAGTGCAATGTGCTCTTTTCTTATGTAACAATGTTATTATTATGCCCAAATTAGCCATAGTCCCATGGTTTCATCTAATTCCCAGTTCATAATAAAATTTTCTCAATTATTTTTATCTTCACTTGAGGACATGCTTATTGATTTTTAGAGAGAGGGGAAGCGGGGGAGAGAGAGAAGGAGAGGAACATCAATGTGAGAGAGAAACATGAATCAGCTGCCTCCTGTATGTGCCCCTACCGGGAACCATACCCATAACCTAGGCACGTGCCCTGGCCAGGAAATGAACCTGCCGCCCTTCGACTTATGGACCATGCTCAAACCAACTGAGCCACACTGGTCAGGGCTCTCAATTCTCAAATTTTACTTTTACAGTTTATTTGTTTGAATCTGGTTCTATACAAAGTCCACATGTCACATTTGATTGTCACTTTTCTTGAGTCTCTTTTATCTGGAACCAACCCCCTTTCTCCCTTTGTCATCATTGACTTGTTGTAGAAACTGGTCAGTTGTCCTTTAAATGCCTCATTCATAAATATGAATAGAAAACAAAGAATCTTCAGACTTTTTTCATGGCTATAATTTTATTTTAATTTAAAAAATTTTCTTTTTCAGTTACACTTACCATTAAATATTATTTTATATTTGTTTCAGGTGTACAGCATAGTGGTTAGACAACCATATAATTTACAAAGTGTGCCTCCAATAGTTCAAGTACCCATCTGGCACTGTACATAGTTACTACAATACTATTGGCTATATTCTCTAGGCTGTACTTCACATCCCTGTGACTATTTTGTAACTACCAGTTTGTACTTCTTCATCTCTTCACACTTTTCTACCTGGCCCATGAATACCCTCCCCTCTGGCAATCATCAGTTTGTTCTCTGTATCTATGAGTCTGTTTCAGTTTAGTTTGTTTTGTTCATCAGATTCTGCATATAAGTAAAATTATATGGCATTTTTCTTTCTATACCTGACTTATTTCACTTAGCATAATACCTTTTAGGTCCACCTATGTTGTCACAAATGGTAAGATTTTAGTTTTTTTAATGGTTGAGTAATATTTCACTGCATATAGGTACCACCACTTTTTTTATCTACTTGTCTATTGGTGGGCACTTGGGTTACTCTCATATATTGGCTATTATAAATTACACTGCAACGAACATAGGAGTGAATATGCTTTTTCAAATTAGAGTTTTGGGTCTCTTCGGATATACACCCAGGAGTGGAATGACTGGGTTTTAAGGCAGTTCTAGTTTTCAGCTTTTGAGGAAACTACAGTGTTTTCCACAGTGACTGCACTAACCTGCATTCCCACCAATGGTGCACAAGGGTTTCCTATTCTCCACAACCTCACCAACACTTGTTTGTTGATATATTGATAACAGCCATTTTGACAGATGTGAGGTCATTTCTCATTGTGGTTTTAATTTGCATTTCTCTGATGATTATTGACATTGAGCTTCTTTTCATATGTCTATTGGCCATCTGTATGTCCTCTTTGGAGAGATATCTATTCAGGTCCTCTGTCCATTTTTAAATTGGATTGTTTTTGTGTGTGTGTTGAGTTGTATGACTTCTTTATAAATTTTGGATATTAACCTCTTATCAGATATATCATCTGTGAATATCTTCTCTTATTTACTAGGTTGTCTTTCACTTTGTTGATGGTTTTCTGTACTGTGTAAAAATTTTTTAGTTTGTTGTAATCCCATTTGTTTAGTTTTTCTTTTGTTTATGATATATCAGAAAACAATATTGCTAAGAGGAATGTCAGAGAATTTACTGCCTATGTTTTCTTCGAGGAGTTTTATGGTTTTGAGCCTTATATTTAAGTAAGGATCTTCATATTTTTAAGGGAAGCCTCAAATGTGAAAGACAGGAAGACAAAGGAAAAAATGCAGTAAACTGAAGGAAACTTTAAAAATACACTATACTTGATATTCTCAAAAAGATAAGAAATTGTATCCATGAAACAAGAATGAAGGGTAGTAATAAAGTTACCTTAAATTACTAAGAACTGTTACTAAAATATGATAGCTGAAATTAAAAATTTTTACGCAGGGTGGAAAAATAATGGAAGTGGAACAAAATGTCAAAATTGATAAGATGGCAAAGAAAGTTAAGGAAATCAGAAGTTATCTCTAGGCAGTCTCACACCCAAAACAATTGAAAAATATTCCAAAAAGAAAACAGAGAAAATGGAAGGTGAGGGAATATTCCTCCTGAGGAAAAATCCTTGGAACTAAAGAACATCAGTTTTCAAAGTGAATACCATGTGCCCAGCACAGAGAATGACAAAAGACTAACATGATGATGTATTGTGATCAAATTTATGATACAAAGTGAAAGGGAAAATTTTTTAAAGCTTCAAAATTGAGGTGGGCCATGGTGTAGGCAGGGCCTACCATGTATCATACAAAGAAGCAGGAATTAAAACGTTGCACTTCTCAGAAGCAGCCTGGAGGTTAGGGAAATAGTAGAATACTGCCCTAATTTTCTATTGAAGAGTACTTTTCCTGTGATTCTAAATCCATCCAAAGTGTTCAGTCTGAGGTAAAAGAAAGATAATTTCAGATACTCAGGGTCTCAGGTTTACTTCCCATGCACAAAAAGATTCTGGAGGACTTATTCCATTCAAAGGAGTAAACCAAGAAAGAAGGCTTTAGAACAAGGATACAGGTCTCACATGAAAGGGAGCAGAGGACAGTACCTGAAAGGGTAAAGATGGGAGGTTCCAGGGTGACAGTTGCATAGTCAACCCAGAGCGTAACCGAGACTGGAGAGCTCTAGAAAAGCTGTCTGCTGGAAAAGAAATGACACAGAAGGATGATCTGCTGTGTCGGAAGGTACTGAGAGAGCAGCATTACACCTGTCAGATTCAGAAGTAGCAATGATAGGTACCTGAAAACTAAGAAAGAAGAAAAGAGATGGTTTTAAATCCAGGGACAGCAAAAACAGTTGTAAAAGAACAGAAATGCAATTATGGCATAACATGTGGCTCATTAGAGAAGAATAACGTAATTACTGAATTAAAAGATTGACTTATATTGGGAGGATGAGGGGACGAATGCTGTGTGTGTGTAGGTGTGTAGGTGTGTAAATATGTGCAGGAATGTCAACTTTTATTAGGATTGGGGTAGAAACTGCTGCCTGCCTACCCTAACGCTCATTCTCCCTTCCTCTTTAGTAATAGAAATGTGGATATGTGTGCATATCTGGGGACTAATCTCTCCAGTTAAAGGACTACATTTCCCAGCTTCACTTGCAGCTAGGTATTGACCTGTGTCTAAGTTTAGCAGAAGTATTCAATGGCATTTCCAGGAAATCTCCTTAAAAGGCACAGAGTGAGCCATTATTCTCTTCCTGCTGCTAGTCTGGAATGGAAAAGTAATTGATGGTGTTTCTGTCATTATTATGGTCTATGAAAATAAAACACACACCAAAACTGTAGAACGGAGAATTGGAGGAATCCTGAGACCCTGATGACACTATAAAGCTATCTTATCGACATTAGACTGGCTACCAGTACATTTGTTTTATGCAATATATACTCTTGTATCTTAAGCCATCATATTCAGGTCTTCATTATATGTAGCATAACCATATCTGAACTGACGTGTAATTCACTAGATAATATCTCAAATGAAATATTACTAATAGTACAATCACGTTATTTAGTAATACAGAGGTAAGTACTATAAACAGGAAAAAATTGGAAGTACAATAGTTGGTTTGGGCAGTGGGAATTCAGGTAAAGGTGAATGATTTCTATTTTTTCTTATAATTCTTTTAATAAGAATTATATTGAAATATTTGACATTTCAAATGATGTGCATGTCTTACTCTAATAAAAAATAAATGGACATTTCTTTAGGTACATTTAAATTAGTATGTCAAGTGAAAATACATGTTCATTGTAAAAATTCAAACAGTTCATAAAACAGTGTAAAAGTTTTGCCTTCCATCAGAACTCTTTGCCTTTCCCCTGCCCATCAGCTCTGCTGTCCCCCCCAAGGGTGATGGATGTTTGATATGTGTCTTTCCACATTTTTTTCTATATACTCATTCAGCATATATAGAGATACATAGTTTTCTTCTTTTATTTATTTTTTTATTAAAAGTGTATTTAAATATTAATTTAAGAGAGTACTCTTGAGAGAATATTTAGGCTTGTAATGGATGTTGTTTTTTTATATTTTTAGAATCCAAGCTGAAAGCATGCAGTTAAAAAGTCAGCAAAATGAATTTCAGAGAGTACAGAAGGAACTGAGTCATTTGCAACATGAGTTAAAAATTAAACAGAGACAATCACAAGTCTTCAGGTAAGATTATCTTTAAATAATTGAAAATTACAAAGATTGAAAAGATACATTTAACATTAGCTTTATAAACATTCAAACACAATGTAGTAGTATATGTATTTGGTGTGGCTGGAAAAAATTGAAATAACTTCACTTTTTTTTAGCCACTGTCACAACTGAGTAGTTTTACCAATAAAATTTAAATCAGGCAAACATATTGTTCTTATTTTGCAGAGACATTTAGATAGAAAACACAGTAACTAGTACCTTTTCCTCTTGAGCAGTATTTCTTGGTGTATTTGATCCCCTGGCACAAAAAATAATAGATATGGGAAACTTTCTAAATATAATAATAAAGCTGCTAAATTAAAAAATCTCCAACATAAGTGGTGTTAATTCTGCTTTTATATAATCTTTGGAGAGTTTATAATACCTAAAAGTAAAAAATAGAAACAAATGTATTTGGACAATTAAAAAAATTAAAAAAAGAAAAAAATACCTAAAAGTAAAACCCAATATTCTAAAGAAACTAGAATTACATTTTTCTTTTTAAATCTAAAAATGAAATTGAATAGAGAGTATAAGAAAGAATGAATTTTTGAATTGAGTCACTTTTAACTCTTAGAAAAGGGAAATAAATGAACATTACAAATAGACACAGGGTCAGGGTTATTAAAAATATGCTGCATGAATATTTCAAACATTAGGGTTTTTTCCTTTTTTTTCAGGCTGCTACTTATTGCCAGGAACATTGTTCTGTTAAAAATATTATCTGGGCTAATAATTTTTTATATGCTATTTGGTGATAACCTGCTGGCCATTTATCTTTGGGAAGGGAGGGAGAAAGGGAAAGAGAAAAACATCAGTTTGCAGGCCGGTGCTCAATCCACTGAGCCACGCCAGCCAGGGCAATAAATAATCTTTGAATAAATGAATGAGTCTACTCACAAAGCAGATGACCATCTTTGTCCTCAAAAACCTCTGCCGTTTCCTAGGCATCTGGTGCTGAACCAGCAGGACACCACCCAGGGGAACCCAACTGTCCATTTTAGTCACAATGATCAGTATTCAAGCTTGGCTCCTATAATAGCTTTAGCCCAAGTCTGCTAAGTAATCTATATGCACTTTTAGACGTTTCCTCTTGTTAATCATTCATAAATTGTTTTAGGTATAAAATGCTTATCCTTTAATTTTCCTTATTTGTAAATCTATCTAGACTCTGTCATCTCTGAAATTTTCCACACCAACTCCTCAAAAGTTCTGCTTCTAGATCCCTTACTTTCACTTCAACTCCTCAGCCTCATGAAGGCTTCCAAAATTGTCTCTGATTTTTCTCAACCATTTTCTGGCTTTACTTTGTTTTCTAGCCTTGATCCCATGGTTAAATCACCTGACATTTTTAAAAAAAGCATTATTGAGATATAATTACATACTATACAATCCACTCATTTTAAGTGGCAACGCAACAATTTTTTATAAACTTACTGAGTTGTGCAACCTTTATCACCACATCCAATATTAGAACTTTTGTGTCATCCACAAAGATCTTCATGCCATTTGCATTTACTCTCTTCTCTTACCACCATTTCTAGGCAACCTTCTTTCTGTTTTATAAATTTGCATTTTTCTGGACATTTCGGATATATTGGATCATATGATATGTGTTCGTTTACATCAGCTTCTCTCACTGATTTTGAGGTTCACTCATGTAGTATCATGCATCAGCACTTTGTTTCTTTTTATTGCTTAATAGTTCCCATTGTGCGGGTGCACCACATTTTACTTATTCATTTACTAGTTGATGGACTTTTGGATTGTTTCCACTTGACACTTATGAGTAATGTTACTCTAAACATCCATTTACATGTCTTTGTGTGGATGTATGTTTCATTTCTTTTGAGTAAATCCCTAAGTGTGGCATTATGAATCATACAGTAAATTTAAATTTAATTTCTAAGAAACTGCCAAACTATTTTTCATGTGGCTGCACCATTTTATATTCCTACAAAGAATGAGGATTATAGGTTTTCTGAATTCTTGACAGCACTTCTTATTGTCTCTCCTTTTCATTATAGCATTTCTAGTAGGTGTGACATGGTATCTCATGTAGCTTTGGTTTGGTTTCCCAAATAACCAATGATGTTGAGCACCTTTTCATGTGCCTATTAACCACTTGCATGATTATTTGATAAAATACCCATTAAAATATTTTGCCTAGTTTTTTATTGGTTTGTTTTATTATAGAATTGTAAGAGTTCTTTATATGGTTTGGGTAAAGTCCTTTATTTGAAGTATGATTTACAAAGATTTTATCCCAGTCTATGGCTTATGTTTTCACTTTTGTAACAGTCTCTTCTGGTGAGCAAAATTTGTTATTCTTAATGAAATAAAATATATCATTGTTTTCTTTAATGGATTATGCTTTTGATAATGTATCTAAGAACTCTGACTAACCAAAGGTCACAAAGGTTTCTTCTAAAAGTTCTATAGTTTTAACTCTTACATTTAGGTCTATGATCCATTTTGAGTTAACTTTTCTGAATGATGTGTGGTGAGGTTCTAAATTTATCTTTTTTCATGTGGATGTTCAATTGTCCCAGCATCATTTGTTAAAAAGGAGTATTCTTTCCTTATTGAATTGCTTGGTACTCTTACCTAAAATCAGTGCACCATGAATGTAGAGAATTTTTTCTGGACTCCATTCTATTCTATTAATCTATATGTCTCTTTTTATGTCAGTACCACACTCTCTTGAATACTGTAGTTTTTAGTAAATTTTGAAACAAAGAACTATAAGGCCTCCAAATTTCTTGTTTTCAAGATCGTTTTGGCTATTCCATGTCCCTAGCATTTCCATATGCATTTTAAGATCAATTTGTTTATTCCTACAAAACAGCATGCCAGGATTTCGATAGGTATAGCATTGGATCCGTAGAGCAATTTGGGGAAAATTACCATTTGGGGATAATCCCATTTATTAGTTCTGATATTTGTGTGCACAAATGTGTGTATATGCATAGGATGTTTCTATATAGAGGATTCTTCTACATAAAGGACATTTCTACATAGTGGATGTTTCTGCCTAGAAGAGTCTACCAGTACTCCCAACTCCTACTACCTCTGCTCATTTAGTTGTAATTACCCTTAAACCCTCAGTCTTCATACCTATGCATACCTAAACACCAGGCCCTCAATTCCTCCAGCACTATTCTAAATCCTCACTATTCTGTTTAGACTTCCCTGTGCTACTTATCTCTCTGCAGCTGTATATCTTGCCTCATATTTCACAGAGAAAGTTAAGGATATCAACACAGGCAGATTTACTGCGAATCAAATGATGTTTAAGTTTTAGAAGGCCTCACTCAAGACTTTCTTCCAAGGTTCTTGGAGGGCCCCTGGCAAAAGTAAGATAGTTTAATAGTAATTGGTTTAAAAATTCCATCTTTTTCTACTCTGATTTCTCCTCTCTTACCCTTCTGATGTCAATTTGCCCTTGGAGTAGTCATCAGCATTTGGGGATCTGAGTAAAGGAAAGATAAGTTGGGAATACACCATTAAAACTGTCATTTAGAAAGACATTTTAGAATGCTTCAGTAACACAATTAACAATTTGGATGTGTATGAATTTTTACAAATTAATAAAATGAAAGCAATAAAGATGAGCATTTTAAACAATATAAATTATTCTGGCATAAATGAATTATAATGATTTTTTTATATCACAAGTAAATTAAGAGAGACATTTTCAGTAAGAGTGCTTAGATTATTTCATAATCCATTCAATGAAGAGGAGTTAATTATTTGAATACATTGGAGAAATATTTGAATTTCTTGCTGATTTGACAAAAACTACTAACATCACTGACGATAACATAAAGGTCATATTATACCACTTTAAGGACATCTAAGATAAACTGGTTCATGAGATTCATTATTTCAAAAATTGACTATTCACTTCCAAAAAACGTTGAAATGCCAAAAAATTTATAATCATATATGAAAAATATTTGATATGGATTCTTCTAAATTTGACCCTGGTTAGTATTTGCATGACATTACCAGTAATGAGCTATGTAGCTGAAAGAATTTTTCTAAACTATCAATAATAAAAAATTAATGGCCATCTGGATGAAAAGCTGTATAATCTTTATATTTTATTCATATAAATATTATTATAAAATGGTTCTCATATGAAGAGGTGAATATAGGGCATGTAGCCAAAAATTGTAGGCAAAAGTGTTGTACAGCTGTTACTTATTAAAAAGTTTCATTGTTTTCCTTATTTTGTGATATTTATGGAATTTATGAACTTTAAAATTTTTATTTATAAATTTAATAATTTTTATCATTCTATAAATAATTGCAGTTTCTTTTTAAAAAAATTATTTTTATTTATTTTTAGAGAGAGGGGAAGGGAGGGAGAAAAAGAGGGAGCGAAACATTGATGTACAAAAGAAACATCAGCCTGTTGCCTCTCACACACCCCCAACTGAGGACCTGGCCCACAACCCAGGCATGTGCCCTAATCTGGAAGGGAACCAGCGACCTCTCAATTTGCAGGCTGGTGCTCAATCCACAGAGCCACACCAGCCAGGACACAGAATTGCAGAGTTTTAAAAATAATTTTTTAAGGCATCATTTTTGTATTTTTTTCAAGAAAAGCCTTCTACCACCTACCACTAAACATATAAGATTTAGACCTTACAGAAATAGATCTGCGCTTAGCTAACCAGCTTGTATTATCTGTTTCCTGCCTTTCTCCCTGTAGAAGAACCTGCATCCCCATTCAGTCTGTTCTTTTGAACATCACTTTAGCCCCTGGCTTGCTTCCAGCTGCTGCCTAACACCCAGCCCACTAGCCCCTTAACCTTGGCCTGGTTCATAGCCTTTGTCTCCCTGCATTGCCAGGTTCTGGCTCCACATTCAGACTTCCTGTCCTCCCCTTTGGCCTTCTTCAGTTAGTGATCTATTTGGAGTCTTTCTCTGCTTTTTGAAATCAGCATCTCTCCTAGCTTTCTCCCTGCTCTGCCTGTTGACTGAAGCATCCCCTGTGGCTTCTGGTCACTCAGGTGGACCTTAATTACCACCCAGAAGGACACCACCATTCTTCCCTCTGGCAAAGGCTAATCTTTCAGCCTACATCCATTCTTTCTAGGTCTTTGCTCAAGAAATGAGTGCATGTCTTATTTGTGTTTTTAGCCTCTGTGACTACATTCATACTGTGTCCAGCTGTGTACACATGTTCGGATGTCTCCCATCCTAGCAAACCATTCTGCTCTGTATCTTCCTCTTTCTCTTCTTGCCACCTCAGTATTCTTGAATGTTGGTACTGCATAACCCCTATTTACTCACTTCTGCTTTACTGTTCATTTCTATCCTACCTAATGCCTCTCTCTGAGATCACCAAATGCTCCCTTAATATCAGATACAATGCACTTTGTTCAGCCTTTATCTAGGACCTTAAACACTGACCACTATTTTCTTCTTTAAATTCACTTATCCTCTGGCTTTTCTGATAGTATTATTGTATTTTGGTTTCTCTTCTAACTCACTGGTTGTGGCTCTCTATTCTCCTTTGAGGGATTCTTTTCTGTTTTAGTCCCATAAATGTTAGTGTTGTCCAGTTTTATAGACTCAGCACTTCTCACTTCTTTGTTCCTCCAACTGAGTGATCCATTTTTTGTGTTTATTCATTTAGTTGTCAGTATTCATTGAATACATATTATCAGGGGTGTCCAAACTTTTGGCGTCTTTGGGCCACATTGGAAGAAGGAGTGCCACTCATTAAGTACACTATCACTAACAAAAACTGATGAGCAAAAAAACGTTTTAAGTAAATTTGCAATTTTGTATTGGGCTGCATTCATAGCCATCCTGGGCTTCATGCTGCCCGTGGGCCACGGTTTGGACACGCCTGTGTGATAGGTACTGTGCTAGGTGCTAGGGAAATTGTGATGAACAAGACATATATAGCGTCTGCATCATAGATCTTAGTCTATTCAGAGAGATAAATATTAACCAAATAATTACAGTCCCACCGTTTCATTCATCTTCTTTTTGGTGATAACTCCCAGGTCTATGTCTGTATCTTGCTTGATTATTAGGTAAATTATAGCCAGAACATCTATCTGAAGTGAAAAAGAAAAAATCACTCTGATTACTTTGAGCTGTGGCATTTCATGAAGCAAAAGCATTGGATCAGTCACTTTTAAAAGTTTTATTTATTATTTCCCCAGGTTTTAAACAGACTGTAAAATTATAGTATGCAGGAAGAATGCTATCTAAGAATTGGAGATTCTCATTTAGGCTCTGTGACTAAGCCACTTTTGACCTAATTTTCTTTGCTAAATGTTTGCTGTTAAATTAATTTTTAAAAATTAATAGAAAATATATATAAAATAGCTATTTTTCTTTATATAGTTAAAATAACATAATGGAAATGAGTTAGGATAACATATACCCCAGTCTTTCTGTGATATTTCTGTCATCTTAGCAAAATAGAAATAGCACTTCTTTCACTTTCCAAATTGTCTGCATTTAGACAATAGATTATATGGTCACTCTAAAACCATTTTTCAAAGAAAACTTTTTTTAAAGAAATATCTGTTACTATGCTTGCTATTTTTAAAAATTCCTATTTTTGTTTGCTACCTTACAGTGAAAGATTGATGGAGTACAAATATTTCTGGAATAAGACTCTTTCATTACTTACTTTTACTAAAAGGGAGATAACCAGTATTAAAAATGAAGTGTATGATCATTTTCAAAACTGGACTTCACTGAAAGAAGAGGTTTTTCTTCAGATTAAATCCATAAGTGAAACAGCCTTGACAGGTTTGTTACATACACTTAGAACATAATCGTCTTTTTTTCTTTGTAAATAATAGTACATCATAAGTAATAAAATCATGATATTTCACTTTATGTGATGGGATTTATGATTAACTGAAGAGATATACAGATGGCAAATAAGCACACAAAAATGTTTAACATAATTAGCTAATTAGAGAAATGCAAATTATAAACATAATGGAATACTAATACATATCTATTAGAATGTCTAAAATTTTAATTGACCATATCAAGTATTAGCAAGGATTGGAGAAACTGGATCACTAGTTAACATTGCTAGTAGGAATGTGAAATGGTGTAGCCATTCTAGAAGATGATTTTGTAATTTCCTTTAACACTGATTATGCACTTAGCACATGACCTATTAATTGTATCTTGAGCATTTATCCCAGAAATATGGAGACCTATGTTCATGCAAAAAGCTGTACATGAATGTTCATGGCAGCTTTATTCATAATGGCCTAACGTGGAAACAACCCAAATTTCCTTCCATGGATGAAGGACAAGCTGTGCTATGTGTATACCACGGAATACTATTTAACAATAAAAAGGATCAAATTATTAATACATGCTTTAAGGCAACTATGCTTGGTGAAAAAAAGCCAGTCTCAGAAAAATTACGTATTATATGAGTCATTTATATAGCATCCTTGAAATAACAAAATTATAGAGATGGAGAACAGATTAGTGGTTGCCAGGGATCAGGGATGGTGTGGGTAGGAACAGGCGAGGCTCTGAAAGGGCAGCAGGAGACAGCTTTGTGGTAACAGGACAATCCTGTATTTTGATTGTGTTGGTAGTTGCAGGAAGCTATGTATGTGATAAAATTGCAAACACCCACACAAATGAGGTGTGTATAAATGGTGAAATCTGAATTTCAAACTATTTAGAAGCTTTGCTCAGTAATGCCTTTACTCCTTCAGTAGGTATTTATTGAGGTCCTGTTAACTCTAGAATATTGTGGTAGAAATTATGGGGGTAATGAAAAATGAATAAGATATTGCCTCTGACCTAAAATAACATAGTCAATAGGAGAGCACATGTATGCATATGGCGGAAATGGCGGAAATTGGTGTGAGTTCCAGGAAGATCAAGGTCACTTCCAGATCCGTCAGAAAATATTTCCAGGCAGGTCACATATGAGTTGTGGTCAGCCTAGTGTTTGAGGTTAGGAGGACCCTTCTTCATGGGTTGTGCTGAAACAGAGAAAGTACAAGGTGGGAACAGTGACTGGAACAGGTTGATCCTATGGAGATCATACTTTCTGAACCCCAAATTGGGACACATGAGTGACGAGCATGAAATTGTGTTAATGATGAAGGTAGGATTGAATATTTGACACTGGATTGCCATATGGATGTGCAATTGGCCATGGGTGAATTAATTTACCTCCTTTGAGTTTACTCTCTTAATTCCATTCTAGGAACATTGAAGCTCCTGTTAGTTTTGAAATCTTGCTGTACTTTTCCATGTGTTAGAATTTATTTGACAAATGAATCTGTATCACAGATTCTTATTCTTTTAATGTCAGATAGAAAGTCATGTTGACATGAATAGTTATTTTAGGGACAGTCAGTAGTGTACACTAAGAGTGAGCCTGCTAACCTAAGCAGTATCATTCTGGCAGACGGTAAATAGGTGACAGCATGTGCTCCTCTGCAGTGTCACTCTGACTTAAACATAGATAGATATGGTTAGAGTACAGTACAGTTTATTCAGTCATAAGAAGCTACCTTTTTGGCTACAAAAATGCCCAGGAAGACTTTTTAGGTCTGAGGAGAAATTACACTGTTTTTTCTTTTTAAAGCGTTATGTACTAGTGTGTTAGTTTTCCTCACACAAATGGGTGTGTATCCATACTTTTTAAAGAAGCATATAGCTAGTCTTAGGAAAAAATTTCTATGTGATTATTGGAATACGGTAGACACGGATTTATTTGGTTCCTGTCAATTTATTTCACCAGATTTTCTATTTTGGGCAGGAATTAAAAGTGAAGAAGGTGCCAGACCCTTTGTGCACATGACCTAGGTTTGCCTTAAATGCCACTTTTTCTTCTGGACAAACTTTTTTTTCCCCCCAGAGAAAGACATTTTGCTTTTCTCTCCTTGGACCAAGTTCTTGATTCTATTCAAACCCATCCATTAAGACATGCCCTCATCCCTGGGTCCTGTTCTAGCACACTGCTCTACTTCTCCTTAATTTACTGGCCATATTTCCTGCCATGTCTGTCCTCCTAATCTCTATTTCTGGTCTTCACTGGCCCATGTGGCTGCTATTTTTGCTGTAGTGGCTCTAAGACCAATAAGCCAAGCCAACCTCCTTTAACATCTAATCGCATGCTACACCCTTCTCTTGGCCCAGAATGACCTAAGCAAGGGAAGGAATGCCAAGTGAACTCTCTGGGCAAGCAGGTCATCCAGATTTTCATGTACTCATCATTTCAATTAATTGTGGTTATACACATTTTGTAGTTTTTTATCATTATTGTGTGCATTCATATATTTTAATACTGTGGTTTAAGGCAGCAGTGCTAAAAAGGCTGATGAAGGGAGAGCTTGATAATTATCATTCTAAAGGATAACATGCCCCATGCACTTTTCATGAAATTATATAAAATCAGTACATTTAAACCTGCATAATGCTGTGAAGGCATTTTTTTTTTTATTGAACTTAATCTAAGTAGATAGAATAATAACAACTGATTGCTACAGTGAAATTCTGGTCTCATTTTGAGGAGACAGAATATTTTTAAAAACATTAAGATATATTAACTAACACTTTATGTCCATAAATTCATTAGTTTTAGACACTGCCTCCTTTTATTTGCCTCCACCCCTACCACCTTTCTTCATAATTTATATAATATATCCTAGTTACTCTCCTAGAAATGCCATCTAGCCAGCTCTGCTAGTATATTTCAATTTACTTTTCTGAATCATGTTACCAAGAAAACAATTTAATTTCAGTACAACCCCAGAACATTATATAGATATGTTATTCATTTATGTGAATATTTAAAAAGCAGGCCTGATTGCCATTTAATACAATTTAAAGACTAAAAAAATACCCTAAAAGGTATCATGCATTGTTTAGCAATACAATTTTTTTTCTCATTTCTTTTGCAGAAAAACCACTAAATTTAAATTCAACCTTTTGGTTTGGTATCATTACACTCTCAGAAGAGTCATCCTGGCTTTCAACTATTAATATTATAGAAGAAAATAATCATTTTTTTGAAAATTGTTTTATGGTTAGATGTTGACTGTTTGTAAACTTTGAATTTTCTTTACAGAAATAGAGATACTAAATAAAAGTTTGGCAGTGTCCCAGAGAAATAAGGTATGCCTTGAAGAGGAAATGAAAAATCTGAAGTTGTTGTTAGATGCAGCCATACTGAGGTCTCAGCAGATTCAAACATCTAAACAACAGGAAGTCAGCTTGCAAACCAGATGTCATGACTTGCAAAAAGAAGTACTAGGTAAAAGATTTTTTCTTCTTTTGTGATTGTTAGCAACTGCCCATAATAAATATCTACATTTTTACTTAAATTTTAAAAATCACAACAAAAATCCTTTGATTACCTTCTGTTGCAAATATGCCTAATTTTTAGTAACTGTCAGTAACTGTCATTAATTCACTGTCATCCCTTCCTATTCTGCCATTTGAGTGGTAAGACAAGTGGAGATTTTAAAGACATTTAAAGTACAAAATAAGATTTCAGGAAAACAAAGTCAAATTTACTTTAGTATATCATTATCCCAGTGGACTGATGGTTTAGTGTACTGAAGGAAAATACAGCATGCATTGTTAGTAAAGTGAATCCAAATTTTTATGCACTCTTTCATTTTCCCAAATGAAAAGATTAAAACTGTGTTTTAGACACCTTGTTTCTCTCTGCCCAGAGAATAAATATCTTGGCAGTAAGGCTATGGAGTATACATGTTTTCCTGAAGGCAGTATAGAATCACTGAAAATTGATAATCATGAAAATGATGTAATAAAAACAGTGTTTTAGCAAAATTAAGTTGTTAGCAATGAATGGAGGTGTCCCAAACATCAAGTGATTGGAGCCAGACACTACAAAAATATGTTTACTGGTAATCCAGCCCCTAGACTAACCATAAGATACTGAAGTAGGGAGGGGAACTAACATTTTTAAGGACCTAATGTGTACTGGACACAATGCTTGCACTGTATGTAAGTTATTTCTGTCAGTTCTCACAATGACAATGGGAAGCAAGTATAAGTATTCCTTACAGAAGGGAGAATCTAGGCCCAGTAAGGTTAACATGCCTGTTCCCACACAGCTGGTAAATGACAGGGAGTGAACACAAACCAAAGATCATGCTCATCTCCTTGACCCTCTCCATAGACACGGTGGAATGGTTAAGATAGAATCAGGGTTGAGAGGGTGATCCAGGAGCAGGGAATTGAACACCTGGCTGAGTGGAAGGGGAAAAGAAAGTCACAGGGGGCTCTGACCCTCTTTGTTTGAGAGTCTTTAATGATAAGAGCATACCACAGGCTAGGGAAATCTAGAGAGGAACTAGTATTAGAAGAGAAGATAAGGAGTCACATTACATGAGCCTGGAAACAGTACGAAACTATGTGTACATTCTAAAATCATGCATTTTAAAGTATACATTACATGAGCCTGGAAACAGTACGAAACTATGTGTACATTCTAAAATCATGTATTTTAAAGTATTCTTTGAACTAGCTTTTCATATTTTGCCAATTCTCAATTGCATTATTGGAATTTTCCTTGATAATTTTTAAGAGCATTTTCTACAGTAATTATTTATCTTCTATATTAACTTTTTTCTAATGTATAATTTTTCATTGATTTTTATGGTCAATTTAACCATATCAAACTTTTAATTTTGGCATGATCAAATTACTATCTTACATTGTTTCTGGTTAGTCTTAGTTAAAACAGTCCCTCTCATTCCTAAATTGTACATATAGTGTTCTGGATTTTCTTTCATTTAAGTCATTAGTACAGACAGAATTTATTTTTTATATGGTGTGAGAGATGGTTGTTCAGTATTACTCTTTTAATATGGATAGTTAGAGTTGTATCAGTATTATGTAGTCAATAGTTATGCTTTTCTCTACACAGAACTACTACCTGTCATATATTAAAATTTTATCTATTACCATGTTCTTTCTTCTTTCCACTAATGTATTTGAAGTAATTTATACCATATTCATTTGACTATAATGACTTATTGGCATATTCTCCTAGCTGGTTAAGTATTTTCTGTCTCTGGTTTTCTTACTTTTAAAATATATATTTGGAGATATCTTCTATTTGAGCTTTGTGATCATTTACTTACCTCTAATTCAAAGGCTCTGATATAGACCCAGTAAAGTTTTTCTTGTCCAGTCTTGATACTGTTCTTACATATTTCAGGCAGTTATTTTTCCACATAAACTTTAAGATAATTTTATTTATTCCCAACAGGTATTCTAATTGGTATTGCATTGTATTTATATGCTAACTTTTGGAGAATTGACATTTTTAGTGACATTAAGTCTTCTTAATATTATAAAAGTCTTTTCATTGAAGAGTAATGTCTTCATTTTTAAAAAAATGTGTTTTATGTACTTCAATGCATTTTACAATATTATTTAAATGTTTGTCATTCTTATTAAATTTATGACCACCATTTTGCAGCTACTGTGAATGTTTTCTCTTTCATTTTCCTGGTATTTATTAATAGGTAGAGAATGGCTATTGATTTTTGTGTATTTGTCTTACACCCATAAACTTTACAAAATTCTCATATTAATTCTAGTAGTTTTTTATTAAGTGTCTCTAGGAGTTTCTAGTTATACAATTATATTACCAGTCCCTATTACCTCCAAAAAAGAGTTTATCCATTCTTTTCCAATGTTTATCTCTGTTATTTTCTTGTCTTGTTCATATCTTAATTAAATTCATTTGAATATATGAGACTGTGTTAAATAATTGTGCCAGTAAGCCCCCATGTCTACTTCCTGATCTTAGTTAAAATAATTTGATGTTTTTCCACTTGGAACTATATCCAATGTTTGGGTTTTAGTAAATAGTCATTATTTTTAATTAAATATTTTCTTTCTGTCCCAATTATACTTGGATGTTTTATCAGAAATGCTTTTGAGTTTTGCTAAATGTCTTTTCAGCATCTATTGACATAATAGTATTTTTTTTCCTTGAACCAACTTGTTAAATGGACTAGTATTACTAAATTTCCTAATAATAAAGCATCTTTGCTTTCATGGGATAAACCTTACATCATTTACTTTTTAATATATTATTTTATACTTGGTTATATTTTACTTAGAAGTTTAGTACACACATTCATAAGTGGGTTGGTCTAAAGATTTTTCTTTATCAGAGGATACTAATTTTATTAGAGTTTTATGCTAAAACTATGCTAATAAATAGATTTCATGACATTGGGTTATTTGTTTTTAAAAATTAGGTGAAACTTGACTGAATGCAGTAAAATTTATTCATGAACTGATATGATTCTAGTGCCTCTTTCAATGAGATTATTTAATATTTTGGGATTTTCTGTTGTAATTGGACTATTTAAAATTTTAATTCTTCTGAGATCATATTAGATTATTTATATTCTGACAAAAAACCATTTATTTTCTCTAAGATTTCAAATTTGTGCTCATAATATGGCATGCAATACTCTTATTTTTAATGCACACTTTTTGCCCAAATTTTTGAGGGAAAAATAAGGGTGCACATTATACATGGGTAGTACTAAGGATACGTATTATACATTGGCAGCACTAAAAAACATGGGTGTGCATTATACATGGGAGCATATTATACACAACAAAATATGGTAACTGGTTATATATGACTTCTGAATTTTAATCTTGTCTAATTTTGTTTTTATCTTTTATTTTCTACCAGGATTCCAAAGTGTTTATTTTCTGGTATTTTGTATTTTTTATGCTTTCTGCTACTTTTATTTTCTATAACATTACTTTTCACTTCTATATTTATTAATTCCCTCTTTCTGGATTTTTTTGGTTTTTTTTTTTTTTTAGACTTATGAAAGGAATAATTAGTTCTTTTATTTCTCATCTTTTAATGATTTATTTATTTATTTATTTATTTATTTATTTTTAGAGAGAGGGGAATGGTGGGAGAAAGAGAGGGAGAGGAACATCAATGTATGGTTGCCTATCGCATGCCTGTTACTGGGGGCCTGGCTTGCAACCCAGGCATGTGTCCTGACTGGGAATCAAACTGGCAACCCTTTACTTTGGAGGCCAACACTCAATCCACTGAGCCACACCAGCCAAGGCTATTTCTCATCTTTTAAAATCTAATGATAGATGATTTAGAGGTACAAGTTTTCCTCTGAGTATAAGTTTTTCGATATCTTACAGCATTTAATATAAATTATTCTCTTTTTCAGCGCTGTCTAAATACTCTGTAATTTCTTTTTTTTAATTTTTCTTTCATGAAAGGATTATCTAGAGGTATATGTCTTGATTTCTAGATAGTTAATTGTTTGGGCACGGAGTTATTTTTATTATTTATTTAACTTTGGGGTATTCTGATTAAATAAAGTGACTTAATATTTCTTTGAATCTGTAAGCTTTTTTTATGTGGAATACATGACAAGTTTTGTAAATATTTCTTAGAAATGCAAAATAAAATATAATTCTCAATTGATGGATATAATGGGATCTTAGCTGGGAATAGGATTCTTAGGGGTCTTTTTTTCCTCTCAGTGGACTATAGATGCTGATACTTTGATTTCTAGCTGTTAGTGTTGTAAATAAGAAGTCTCTTGCAGATCTGATTTCTTTTTCCTTTAAAGGTAACTTTTTTTTAACCTAGAAGCTTGTTAGATTTGTCTATCTCTTATTTTGTTTTGCCTTTTTTATTGGACCTCAGGAGCGTTCCTTTGGATCACTCATAGTCCTTGGTTTATGACATGTGTGCACAGTCTATGACTTTACACTTGTATACGGTGTTGAATAGAATAGTGATAGTTGCATCCCTGTCTCATTTACTATTTTACAAAAACATACTGTTTAACTTTTGGGTTTAAGCAGATAATATAATGAATGTAAAATATCTAGAATTGAAGGATACTAAAAATGACATATAACAAAATTTGTTGAATGCTGCCAAAGTGATTCTTTGAGGGAGAGGTATAGCCTTACATACTTTTAAGAAGGAAAGAATAAACTCGGAGAACACAGAGAAAGATATAATAAAAATAAGAGCAACAGGCAGTGACATAGAAAACAAAGATACAATAAAGAGCAATAAAAAACATTGATATTTTTAAACCAACAAAATAGACAAACCTCTGGCAAGTTTGATCAAGAAAAGAGTGAAGACACAAATGAAAATACAAGAAATTAAAAAATAGTAGTGATGACAAATAAAGAGTAAAAAAGAAGTAGGTTTTGTCAACAACCTTATGCCAACAACTTTGAAATATTAAATGA